CCTCAGCTCGTACTTTTAACTGTGACTCAAAGGTTTCCTTCAGCCATTTCCTTTGGAGCTCAAATTGTTTTTCTCCTCAATTTTTAGTCGGTTTTCCCTGCAAAGCTGAATTTTATCTGAAAAAAATTCCCAAAGCTCACTTGGAGTTTTTAGAGCAGAACAAAGTACATGTTTCACACTTTTTAAAAGAAAATGTTCAAGCTTTGGTTGCAGTTGAATAACTTCAAAATGGCTTCATTTTAAAACCGAGTAGAGGAGAAATCTCCAAAGGAAATGCATATTTCAGACTATTTGTTTTTAAGACAGTTTACACTCAGATGAGCAATATAGGAACTCTGAACGCCTGATCAAGTCTTCTGTTACCTATGAGAACAATAATAAGAGCTTAGAGGTAGAGGAGAGATATCTCAACTCCTTCTTGAAATGGCAGGATTTTCCTTCTATTTCCATGCTCCTGGCCACCTTTAATAGCTCCTCTTGGTTTTCCTCTGAGTTGGTCTCTAATTTCTGGAAGACACTGGGAAGGAGGGGAAAGAAAGCTGGTCTAGACCAGGTTGGGAATAGACCCCTGGGAGACCCTGACCATGGGTCTTAATCATTCCATGTTGTATCCCTAATGCTTACCAGCAAACCTGGATCTAACTGCATAGGGAGGTCAGCTGGTGAGATTCAAGTGAGTAACGGTTTAAGCAAGTTCTGAAGAGGTGTAAAGTGCTTAGGGTATTATAAAAGTCTACTCTCTTCTTTTACTATTTTTTTTTTTTTTTAATATACTGAGCAATTCCAAGAATCAGGTTTGAAAGATACATAGTTATGAGAACCAATATTTGGGAATCCATCTGGGTTCAAAGTGGCGCCTGGGGTATGAGAAATTCTCTTGCTATTTTCATAAAACTAAAACATAGCTGGTCATGACCATTTCAAAAGGTTAACGTAAGTTAGAAGCACATGGCCAAAAAAGAAGTGAAGGAGAAAAATGTCTAAGTCTCTGCGATTCTATAAAGTGGTTTGGCTTATAAGGCAGAACCTGGGTTAATGTCTAAGAAATCATCCTTATATTAGTGCTCAGATTCATGTAACAGAAAACCAGAAAAATAAAGACTAAAAGACAGAGTTTGGATACATACTGATAAACTGAAATATGTTATGTGAATGCCTTATTGTGTGCTCTGGGCTTTCAGGGCACTGAAATAATATATGCATGAAAAGATTATAGCAAAATAGTTGGCTTCATGCTGATGTGTTATCACAGGGAAAAATCAGACAGCAAAGGGAATATGCAAATCAACACAGCTCTACAACCCAAATTATTCTCGACCACTATTTGATAATGTATTTCCTTCTTTGGAGAAAAAAAAGTAACTAAAGAAATGCATTCCCCAAACTCTAGGAAAGCTGAGAATTTACACAGACAAAGCAGATTTACATAAATTTTGAAGATTACTACAAAATACTTTAGAAATTTTAAAAGCAATAACCTGGAATACTTCCCATAGTAGCTTTGGCTAGTGGTCCGCAATGCATTTTCCAGTTCCCCAGAATAGAAAGGGAGGCTGTCAATATCCATTTGCAGGTTTTTCTCACAAATATATACCAAGGGAGGTACAACAAAAGTCTGCTTTGGATTAAAGTAGACTTCAGATTGCAAAACCAAGAACAAAATTTGGGGGGAGGGGAGCTTATTTTAGTTTTTCTTTTCTCACCAAAAACATAACATTTAAGGAAAACAGAATTCCACAGTTTAAAATTTCTTTAATGATTTAAGAAAGTAGAGAGGTAATGACGTTTTCATATTTTAATACAACTGAAAAAAAAGTGACTACATCTCGACATTAAAAAATACTTAGACAGTGTTTCCTAATTACCACCTGGGCCAACAGTGATGCTTATAGCTAACATGGATGAAGTGATGAAGAAGCAGTATTCTTATTATTATGCTTAAGATTATCTGCATACTATTATCAGGCTTGACTTGAGGTTTGAAAAACGAAACATAAAGATGACTTCTATTTCTGCCCTGGCATGTGTGGCTCAGTTGGTTGGAGTGTCATCCTGTACACCAAAAGTTTGATTCCCGGTCAGGGCACATACCCAGGTTTTGGGTTCAATCCCTGGTAGGGGTGAGTGTGGGAGGAACTGATTGATGTTTCCTTCTCTCTCTCTCTCTCTCTCTCACACACACACACACACATACACACCCCTTCCTTTCTAAACATACTTTTATCTCATAGAATTACAAGTGAGGCTTTAAAATATTCACAGGTGATTAGGGAGTCCTACAGAAAAAAATAATAGATTTATTATTTTAATTTGTAGCATAATACATCACTATAGGAACCAAAGAAACTGTAATATTTTTAGATGTACGTAGTGCCTATACATTGAATGGCAAATTACTGTGAAAAATTTAATTATGATATATGATAATCAAAACAATGTCATCTTATTCTAAGTAATATAAAATAATATACTATTTCAGACAAAAACCTAATCTCCACAAGCAGTGTCAGGTGAAAAACAGCATAAGTTATCTGCAATGTCCAGATAACTGAATAAATGTGTTAACTAGAATTAGCTGATGAACTGGCTAAGAAATTTACTTTCTTTTCTAGTTTGCAAATTTTAAAGTAGTAAATTGATTAGCAATAAATGACAACATATATTTCATTACAGATATAATGCATTTATCTCATATACAATGCGTATTGATAAACACAGTTTTCCTCTAGCTATAATGTAAACAGTGACCTAAGATAAGTATTTGTGTTTCTTATGTCTTACAAAAGCTTCTCCCTTTTACAAGGCCTTTTAGGGCAAAGTTTTGTTTTTTGTTTTTTTCATTTTTGTATCTCTTTAGATTCCCTGGTACCCAGCACATCATAGACAAGCCCTCAAAATAATTTTTGTCTTGATTCAACATTTAAAGACATCAGAAATGTTGTCATATGTCTGCTTCTGAAATATGCAGTATGTTCAAAATACTACAAATAGAGATTACGAAACAATAAACCAACACAGATAAAGATAAAAATAGAAATGCATACAGTCGTCCCCCCTTTATCTGCAGAAAACATGTTCCAAGGTGGATGCCTAAAACTATAGATAGCACCAAACCCTATAAAGACCATGTTTTTTTTTTTTCCTATACACACATACTTAAGATACAGTTTAATTTATAAATTAGGCACAGAAAGAGATTAATAATAACTAAAATAGAAAAAGTATAACAATACTGCAATAAAAGCTATGTGAATGTGGAGTCTCTTATTAAGTAGAAAACTTTCACCTTTTTGTTTAAAAATAAAAACTACTGTATGGCTTCCCTTTGGCAGATCTGAACTGCCAACCTCATGACTCCTGTGCTTTGGGCCACTGTTAAGTAAAATACGGGTTACTTCAACACAACACTGCAATGCTGCCACAGTGCATCTGATCATGAGGGAGCTGGCTACCGAGTGACTACGGGGCAGGGAGCGTCTACAGCGTGGATACGCTGGACAAAGGGATGAGTCATGTCCTGCATGGGACAGCGCAAGATTTCATCAAGCCACTCAGAATGGTGCACCATCAATAACTTATGAATTGTTTACTAAGTTGAATTTTCCATTTGGTATCTCTGGATCTCAATTAACTGCGGGTAACCGAAACCATAGGAAGTGAAACCATGGATAAGAGGGGGACTATTGTACAGAGAAATCATAGCTAAAATTCTGACGGCAACCGATTAACTTAAATTTGAACATTTTCAGGCAGTTGGCATTACAGCTATCGAAGGCCAATGGCTGATAAACCGCATTCTTAAAAAGATGTTTTTTTGGTCCATTCAAAGGCCCATATACTTGCACCCAGGAAAGATTCTGAAATGCATGAAGAGACAACTCAGCTCTATAGGAAATATGGCTCATGAGCTCTTTATCAATCCTACATACAAAAAGAAATCCTATGGAGGATTAGATGTGTGTGTTAATGAAGATATTAACACTTACAGAAAAATAAAAACTTAAAAGGGCCAAGAACTGAGAATTCTTGTATACCTAACAGATGTACAACACTAAAAGTATATTTCAATATGCCAGATGTTATTTTAAGCAGCTATTGTAGATATCTCACTTCCTTCTCTTTATTTTCTACCCTATTAGAAGGACATTTACTACCTATTATTGGCATGTCAGCCTTCGATCTTTGCTCTAACAGAGCTTATCAATGGCATCGTCTCCATTCTTCCAACACAGACCGAATTCCAGCTCAAAGTCAGTTTTCTATGCCCTTTAATTATATTCTGTAATCAACTCTGACTCATCATCAAGCCTTTATTACCCTCCAAATCCATATTTATGCCTGTTAAATTTTCATGTAATGGGGAGGAACTTACATTACTGAATGTTCTCCAGACAGGCATACCAAGGACACCTTTTCAATCACTCGCTGCTCAGTAGAGACGAAATTATGCAATAGCCTAGAGAATTCTGTCAGAGCGGAGGGCCACATCACCAAGCCACTTCATGGCTCCCCAACACACTGATCTGGAGCCAGATGCACAGTCACTCACATTTGCCAAGAGAGGTTTTCAGTTCTGAATATTCTTTGGGACCCACCCACCACACCAACAATGATTTAGACAGAAAGAAAACAAAACAGGCTGACTCACTCCAATACTCCCGACTCCAGCCTGCAGGAAGAAGGCTACAGAATGATCTGATGATTAGCCTAAGATTTGTGTTCTTTTCATTTTCAGAGCCTCTGCATAGTGTGAACAGTATCGAATTGCATCTCATTAGACCTGAACGCACTGACCTGCTCAGATGACTGACAGAAGAGCTTACCTTTCTGAGTGCACCATGTGTACCACAGGGTTATTTTCAGTGGGTTTTACAATCCCCAAATCAACAGTGAAGAAAGCAATGAAATCAGTTTACTCCATACCCCACACCCGATTTCCTCTCATTTGTTTGTATCAGTTATTAAAATGCTACCCCGCTGCCTGTCCAACGAGCACTCACCTCATTGTCCGATTCCACGAGAACTTGATCATATTCACTAAGCGCTACTAGAAACATGATAGAGGTGACATTTTCAAAGCAGTGTATCCATTTTCTTCTCTCTGACCTTTGGCCCCCTACATCGACCATTCTGCAAGGTTAACAATATTCATATTAATAGCATATAAAGAAAAAAATCAATATAAATATAGCTTTACTTACAAACTTAGAAAAAATACTCTTTAAAGAGAATGGTCATCCAAGTCAATTCAATTATTACTTATTGAATAGCTACTAATTTTCTGTTACTTAACAATCAAAGTCAAGACATTCTGGGTAATAAATCACTGAGGTTATCAGAAAGTCACCAGATGTGTACGAAATTATACCTTTGTACAAAATAATCCTGTGCCAAGCCAAGCAAAATTGTGTTTCATTTAATCAAGCACTGAAGAGTTTACAAAATGAGTTTAAGCTCCAATGGCAAATACTGACTTCAGTTATTTTCCTATAAAATGAGAATGGAGATCACTTCCCCTAGGATGCTAGAAATGACTGTCAATACACTTCAAAGATAGAAGATGCTACACATTTCAATATAGGTGTGTGTGATGCTTTAACTAAATTCAAACACAACTTCCCTGATCTTTTATCAGTAGGGTAGGTGTTTGGAGCTGTTTTTCCTTCCAATACTGGCAATGATTTGGGACAGGTGCAGTCATATTGGGTAACATAATATGATTAGGCTTCTGCACAAAACAACCTGCTAACCTTCCATAAATACATGCTACAAGAAGCTATCATTTGAACTATTTCAAGAATTTAACTTTGATTCTGTGCTGAGTTACTGCTCAGGAACCAGCAAAGACATCAACTAATTTGATTGGTAATGTATATATGAAAACACCTAGCAGTACTTGGCACTGAAGCCAAGTGTCTTCAAACTGTTTCATATCTCAACAAAAAAATGTGCAAAATGTTCATAGGATAAAATACTTCCAGAGAAGGAGGGTTTTAGGTACAGAAGTTTGAGAGCATTTGTTGATGACTGCAGTTGTTCCTGGTGTTCTCCTGCTTCTAAGCATTACATCTAAACTAAGAAATCAAGGTTCGCCCTGGCCAGTTTGGCTCAGCGGATGGAGTGTCGGCCTGCGGTACAGAGAGACCCGGGTTCGGTTCCCGCTAAGGGCACATACCTCGGTTGCAATTTGTCCCTGGCCCTGGTTGATCGTGCAGGTGGCAGCCACTTGATGTGTCCCTTCACATCGATGTTTCTCTCTCTCTTCCTCTCTCTCCCTCCTACTCTATCTGAACAAAAAAATGTCCTCTGGTGAGGATAAAAAAAAAAAAGAAATCAAGGTTCTTCCAGTGATTGCTTCTACAAGTTTTCTGAGGCACAGAAGAGGTATCTCAGGGGCAAAACAATGGACCCAGGGAGACATGAACTATGACGTCAAAGCTAGAATTCTTAAGTCATAAGAATAAAAATGCTAACTCTTCCCTGCTGTTGAGTGAATAATATGCTACTCATTTACATATTCCTGCCACACTCATCTCTATAACATGCTTTGAATGGTGGCAGGAATCTATTTTTCAAAATCACTACTATTACCATAGTGGCAAAAATATATCCTTTAAAAGCTAATGCACACTATGTAGAAAAGATAAGATGTAACAGCAACCTGGTTTCAGAAGTCATTATCTATAAAACAATAAGGAGATAAAAATCTCCATAAAATGCTATATGTTTTCTGAAAATATTCTGTAATATGGTTATAAGAGGAAGGAAATTTTGGATGTCTCATATTAAAGATCTCTGAATGCAATGAACTAAAAATTGAAGTAATCCAGAATGTCGAAGCTATAATGGTAATCATTGAATGCAACTGTTAATATAGGTGAAAGAAACTCAAGATCAGAATGATTTCCCAAATGTCACCCACTTTGGGTATGTCTATTATAGTAGTATATGGCAGCTAGATGTGACTACGGATGCAGAGACTGACTAGAATAAAACACAGTGCTTTGGCAGGGAAGGACGGAGGGTCTGCTCATCAGAGTTACATACCCCACTTCACAAGCCCATGCTGCATGTGGTTTTCCTCAATGGGATGGGCTCTAACAAGGAACTCAACTCAATGCTCAAAGAAATATTCACACGTCTTCATTTCTCAAAGCACCCTGTGGTTTGTATTCTAACTAGAAGTCCAGCTGACTGATAGTGTAGTGAGAGATTCAGTAACAGTGATTAGTATTGTTTACTTTTTTCCTCTTAAAAAAAAAAAAAAGGCAATACTTCTGAAGTATTACTCAAAAGAATAGCAGCCGTGTGGGAGGAAGTAATACATCTCCACTCTATTTTCCTAGGTAAATTTAGACTGGGTTAATCAATCCATATTCAAAATCATGTGTTTTGAAAAGTTTCCAGCAACTTAGGAATACAAAGCATCCTACAGTTGCATTGCTACTGAAAAAGTCTGCATTGGTACCAGAGCACTTGGAGGAAATAATGACCTGTAAGCTTCTGTCATCACATAGTTTCTGTTATTAATAGAGTCCAAAGATCACTCATATCTTATGCAAATATAAAAACATATCCATTGTCCCCCATAGGTAAAATGATTTCCCCAAAATTATAATCAGGACTCATGTTTGAGCAACTGATTTTGTTCAACCATCAGCAAACTAAGACTTCACTGATTTCCTGGTGATTTAACCTGAAAAGAGAAACCTGCCCAGGTATCCTTCCCCTGCTTCCCTTTCAGGGACACATGATTTCATTTTGTGTATCTAATGATAATAACTGGTATAAAGGTGATATTGTTTTAAAGCCTACACATGACTTCAATATTTATAGAGGTCACCAAATGTACTCAAGGCATAAGAATTCAGAAGTGGGTTGTATGGACTCAATTACTACCTGAAAATGACACTTTGTAAGTCAAAGGGGTATTCGATGATCCCTGTGGTGGGGACTCGAACTCTAAGCACATCTTGTTGCGTAGGCAGGTAGGCAGGGTCGGCAACACGGTCCAAGTCATTAAGATAGCTAGAGGAGGGAAGACACAATGAGAATGTCAGTGACACCATCACACCACACCTACCCATGGAAAGAGAAGGACAAAAATCAATCATAAGAGAGAAGTGGAGACTAAAAAGAAAGACATCAGAAAGTGGTAGAGAAGTTTAGGAACTCGCAAGATTAAAGTCAACCTTCCACTGGTCACAGCAAAGTTACCCTCTATGGATTACCTGGTTCACTGTATATTTCTCATTTCTTCTCTTATAATCAATTAGAACCATACAAGAGTGAAGGGGGAGAAGAAATGAAATCAAATGGGTCTCCTACCCTCTACTTGTTCAGCAGGTCTTGTGGGTAAAACAGGAGTTTAAAGCAAATAGTTTTTGAATTATTTATACAAATAAGGTTTGTATAAATAAACAGATAAGAGTTACATATAAGGTCAGAATTATCATTATTATTATTATTTTGGTCTTTTGCAGAACCTCAGAGCTTTTTCCTGGAATGTATCTCCTTAATGCCCTAAGAGAGGACACAAAATACCATATCCTAAATTCTGTCCAAAGTCTAAGTCATTCATGATTAATGTGAACTCATGAGACTTCTAGTTACTGAGGTGACAATGTCTAAGGTCAGATATATTCCCAGTGTTTAGGGTCACCACATCTAAACTTTAAATTTATCAGCGTATATTTTTCTATTCCTTTGGAGAAAAAAGAAACATTTTTGAGCTAATTTTGGACTCATAAGATGTTGCAAAAATATTACAGAGAAATCCCCTATACCCTTCTCCCTGCTCCCCCCATATAATACCTTATTTAGATTTCACCAGTTTACACACACACACATACACACACACACACATTTTGGGGGCATATAGTTTTATGAAATTTTATCACATGTAGAAATCTGTGCAATCACCACCTCAATCAGGACACAAAACTGTTCTGTTACCGCAAAGAAACTGCCCTGTGCTCCCCCTCCCAACCCTAACCTCTGGCAACACCCGTTCTCCATCAGCGTAACTTTGGCATTTTAAAAATATTATATTCCATTCACTTTTAATTCTCTCAAAGTGCAAAAAATAATTTGCAACCCTGAGAATGACACAGTTTGAGATGACTGATGCCAAACAGGTGAAGTGTTGTGCGTGGCACCTTCATGATTTCACGGAGTCACAGTGCTCCCCTTGGGCCCAGGGAGGATGCCGCACGGATATGGTTTCTGAACACGACTCCAAAGCAATTAATGTGTGAGTAAGACTTCAAGAAAAGATGGACCCATTGCTAGAATGGAAAGGGGTTAGCGTTGCAATAGAGACAGTGAGTTCTGAGACATATAACAGGGGCAGAGCATGCTATGACCCAGTAAGCACACACACTCTGTCAGCGTGACCTAAGGTAAGGACCCTGTCTCACCCATCGTTGTTCTTGCCTTAGGACCTAACGAGTGCCTGGCAAATAACATTTAATTAGCATGTGCTGGCTGGCTGGCTGGCTTTCCTACGCTGAGATTTAGTTTTAGCACTATTTAAATACCATTCACACTAGTGGTGTTTTCATATTAATGATTTTATTAAATTTGAAATAGGGTGTTGGAAAAAAAAGTTACATTAAGTCACTAAGATTTGTGGGATCATAAAATAGGAGAGCTAAGTCTGAAATAAAATCACTGCCTTTTTAGAGGTGTATCAATCCTTTAATATGAAAATGTGCCAGCCTAGAAATTCCTACACCAATACAACTAATTAGTATTCTAGTGGCCTTATCCCAAACACATCAGTGATTCTCTAGCTGGCAATTAGCTCTCTACTATCAGAACCAGCCTACTATCTTTAATTATTAAAAAACTGGCTCACCCTGGCTGGTTTGGCTCAGTGGTTAGAGTGTCAGCCCGAGGACCAGAGTCTTGGGTTTGATTCTGGTCAAGGGCATATATCTCAGTTGTGGTTCAGTCTCAGCCCTAATTGGGGATGTGCAGGAGGTAACCAATCGATGTGTCTCTCTCACATCGATGTCTCTCTCTCTCCCTCTCTCTCCCACCCTTCCTTCCTCCTTCCCACTCTATCTAAAGATAAATGAAAACGTATCCTCAGGTAAAGATTTAAAAAACAAAACAAAACAAAAAACTGGCCAGAGGACAAAAAGGAGGAAAGGCTATGAGAATATGGGCATGAGAGGCAGGAAGGAAATATAAAAATGTATGAACCCGGAATTTTAGTCAATATCTTGGCATTGTCTTAGAGCTGTCTGATGGGGTTAGCAAGCCCGTGATTTAGGAGTTGGTCTGTATCTCATTCTACAGATAAACCAGCTCACTACAAGTAATGCAAAATCAGCTGGCTACTCTACATAGATGGATTTTCCTGATTTATCAGCTCCTTGATTTGAAAAACTTGCAATGTATGTGCATTCTGAAACCTACAAGATCACCATTTATTTAACTACTATATATAAAAATTTAGTTCAGAGAACGAATTTACATTGGCAAGCTTGCTCTTTAATACACTGCCCAATAAAACCATTTCTACTCACTTAATCCAATACACAGGAGGTCAGAACAGAGGGTGGCTGATTCTTGTACACAAGGTGCTGTTGTATTCCCGTGGTGAAGAAAAATCGTGGTTTTCTGTCCTCGTAGACAAACTAAGCAGGCCACTCCATTTTTAAACACGTATTTGCACAGAATTTAAAGAACCAGCACATATAATGGGGAAATGCTTGTCACTCTGCTCAGCAGGAACCTGGCTAGTCTCTCTCCTACTGAGAAGAGTGAACTGAGTTCCCTGAAAAAAATGCTCAGGTAAGATCAAATCAGGGCATACACGTGTGATTGAAAAACTACTGAAATGGATGTAGAGACAGCCCTAAAAATACTGTCAGTGGAGTCTCTCTGTGAAGTGGGCATTACTGAGACATCAGCTGAATATCTAAAACATCTTGTTCTTGCAAGAATATGTTTTCCTCTTCACCTTTCTTTTGCTACTTTTCAATGTCAGTGCAGTTTGCAGAGAATAACAACAACAGAATACCAACAATGAACTTCTACTGAGTGCATGTTGCTTGCCCGGCTCTGTTCTGTCTGTTCCTTGCCCAGGTATGAACATATTTTATGGCACAGAAATGGCCATTAAAGATGTTCCATACATTTCGATTCACTGGAAAATGAACTGCAGTTCTGGCTTGACATTCTTTTCGCTTTGCCTCAGTTGGATGGTGGAGAGAAAGGCTCACTTCACTTCCAGTGAAAAAGTTACTCTAGTTTAACAACAAAAACGGAAAGGAACTGTATCAAGGCCTGCCAGTTGCAATATACATTACCTAGAACCACAACCAAACCAAACCCAAATACCCCACAACAAGGCAAGAAGAACAAAGCAAAACAACGAACCCTCCAAACAAAAGATACAAACTATCTTCGCCTAGAGCAAGGTCTGGTGGCTCAGAAGCAACACCAGAATTGAATATGTGTTGCAGTTATTTGTGGAGCAGGTGACACCTGCAGCCAACAAAGACCAAGGGAGAGGCCAGTGTGGAGAGCTTCTGGCGGTGTAAGTCACAACCCATGTGTTCCCCACTGTGGCTTACAGGACTTGGGCGGGCCCTCAGAACTCTCTAATTAAGGAAAATGGCCACTCTATTCTCTTAGAAACAGAGTTCTGGCACGATAAGACCTGTGCATCCTCATTTGTTGATTCTTGTCATATTGTGAGAAAAGGTAATGGAATAATCTCTTAACTGAATTGTAATTTCCATTGAAGCATCTCATATTCTGAGGGGAAATGGTGGTGGAATATTGGGAGGATGGGTTCACATTGGATTATTCCGTTCATTTAACCTTTTACAAAGAAACACTAAAGTCTGAACAAATTTATAGTGCAGAGTAAATTCAGAAAGTTAATTATAGCTATAATTTGTTTTGTAGAAATGATTCTGAGTGCCTGCTGAGGTCATTCTCAGGGTGTCGCTATGGTGACAGGCACAAGGTACATTTCCAAGGCAATGTATGTTTAACGAGCGGCTGGCCTAGCTGTCTCCGGATGTCATGGAGAAAATGCTCCCATGGTATAGGTGACTTATTGAACTGTTGAGAAGACAAGGCATGTTTAGGCCTGTGCTAAAAAAATGGGAGGTTTAGTTGATTAAACTCACTCCAACCCACCCATGGGGACTGAATGCCTTGACAGTGCTTTGAGACATTAATAATTGATAACTTCATAATTGATTAAAAATAAAAAACTCAACATTTTTCTACATATGTCTGCCCAGTTGGGGCTCTCACACTCCGTGGAGTCAGGGGCCATGGCTACCACTGTGCACGGCTGGTCACCAATACTAGCCGAGGACCTGGACCACAGTGGGTCCTCAACCTGTGACCCAAATGGAAACTATTTTATGGGAAATGCTGTAGTCATTAGAAAGATGGTTATACCTTTCAGAAGAAAACAAAGGGCGGGGGAGTGGTGTTAGCTACCCATATTCAGGAATAATGCCTCTGGGCTATAACTGGCCTGTGTTACGTAAGTACTAAATTCTGAATTAAACGGCCTCTGATGAATGTGAAGACAGAAGCAAAAGGAAAAGCAGCCTCTGTTTAACATCATTTACTAGATATGTATGCTTCCTGCTCTTCTTTAGGTCCTGGCCACAGAATGATACAATTTGTATGTCTGTTCCATGCTTCTTCAGATCAAACTCTCAAGCCTTGGAATTCACTCTGATCCAGGCTAAACGGAGGGTGGCAGTGGTACCTTATTAACAGACAATGCTGACACAGTCTCTTTAATGAAAGAAATAGGTTTCTAACAAAGGAAAAAATGAACACATGGGACTACATCGAACTCAAAAGCTTCTGCACAGCAAAAGAAACAACCATCAAAATGGAAAGGCAACCCACTGTATGGGAGAACATAATTGCCAATGATACATCAGATAAGGGGTTAATTTCCAAAATATATAGAATGCTCATACAACTCAACAAAAGGAAGACAAAGAACCCAATTAAAACATGGGCAGAGGAGCTAAAGA